AGTGACTTGATTTTGTCCATCGGCAACTGATTGGATCTTTGCCATATGCTATTGTTGTGATCTCAAGCGAGTGACAGTCAGAGAAGAGATGTTGTTGCAAGTTATTTTGATAAAAATATTATGAGGGCACATCAGTTAAAAAAAATAAATAATCATGTGCACAGATAAATTATTTACAATAAATACTGCAATATTCTAGCAAAAAAAAAAAAGTCATTTTTTATTTCAGGGTGACTTTTAAAAGAAATTTTGAAATCTTTAGTAGCTTTAATAAGGATCAATGTAAATTTAATTTATACGGTGAAGGCTAAGCAGTGTTTTAATTTTACATTTGATTATTCAGTTTCGGTTGTATTTTTTCTCTGCAGACACACCTACCTGAAAATACTTATATATATATATATATATTGTGAAAAACATTTACTTATATCGTGAACTAAGGGCTTGGTCATATCAGTATCAGTTCAAGTTGAGTATCAGTCAAATGCAGTATTTAGGTAGTTTCAGTGACTGCCAAAGCTATGAAATGCCGTTGCATTTCCATTATTGCTATTTCAAATGTCAATTTCCTTAAACGAATCAAACTGAATCTTACACTTGCCTTGACACATTCAGGTAAAGCCTGAAACGGTGATCATGCACACCTTTCAACGTCACACGGAGTTGTTTGCGAGCAAACAGTGTCAATCTAAGCTCACATTCCTGTGTTCACCACGCCTGGGAAATGGTTCAAACTGTGATCATCCAGATTTAATGATTTCCTTCCTTCATCACTTTGCCAGGCCGAAAAATTCCCTCATTTCATGATCACGTGCTTGCTACTATAATCAGTGTTCACAATCATTAACGTCATTACAAGAGGTAGCAAATGGATCAAACTTTCACCCGTGATGTAGTAATACAAAGCTAATATAGTAATTCCAAAATCATGCAACATTTGCTAGCTTCAGAGGCTTTATTTCCACACTGCATTGACAAGTTTTATGAGGATATAAAAAAAAAATCCTACCTTGACACCCTGACAATGTATGATGCATGTAGCACAATTACACACATGAAACAAAATAACTGCTAATCCATGCCACTGAGAAAAAATAAATACCTTTAAAACAGGTTTCCTGTACAATTCCTGTCTTCATCAGGTCAGACAAAGAGACCTCAAACTCTAGTTGAGCCAATTGGTTAAGCTAATAATACAGTATGTCAGGCTGCGCAAACAAACAATATACACTAACAGTCAAAAGTTTTTAAGAATTAACATTTTTAATGTTTTTGAAAGAAGTCTCTTATGCTCATCAAGGCTGCATTTATTTGATCAAACACACAATAAAAACTGTAATATTCTGAAATATTATTTCAGTTTAAAACAACTGTTTTCTATACACACACACACACGTATATATGTTTTTCCTATATTACATATACAGGTGCATCTCAATAAATTAGAATGTCGTGGAAAAGTTCATTTATTTCAGTAATTCAACTCAAATTGTGAAACTCATGTATTAAATAAATTCAATGCACACAGACTGAAGTAGTTTAAGTCTTTAGTTCTTTTAATTGTGATGATTTTGGCTCACATTTAACAAAAACCCACCAATTCACTATCTCAACAAATTAGAATACTTCATAAGACCAATAAAAAAATTTTTTTTAGTGAATTGTTGGCCTTCTGGAAAGTAAGTAAGTGCTCCAGAGTGAAGATTTAGTCGCATATGCGAGTGATTTACTCGCAATGTAGAGGGTTGGTGCTTGTAATGATTTTTGCGTCTTTCTCAGACAGCCTTAAATGTTTCCACACTGCCGTCATGTTTGCTGCATTAGCGCGCGCCTCTATTTGATCGCGTCACATCTTTGTTCGGTACAATTTATTCGGTCTTTTCACTATTTTCGGCCGAATAATTTCGGTTGCCAAACATTTGGTGCATCCCTTATATATATATATATATATATGTAATTTATTTCTGTGATGGCAAAGTTGAATTTTCAGAAATCATTTTAATATGCTGAGTTAGTGCCAAGTTATCTTCAGTTATTATTTAATGTATTTTTGCCTTTGTGAACTTAAGAGACTTCCTTCAAAAACATTAGAATAAATTTTCATTATTCCAAACCTTTGACCGGTAGTAAGAATAAAACCAGACACATATCGGATACAACACACAATCACACCACAATACACAATCTTCCAGCCTAGGGTGAAGTTATTATGTACACTGACAACAATTTGGGACCAATATAATGTAATTTAATAAAACATTAAATTGGATCTGAATGGTGCTAAGGTAGTGTTATCGCACATAAGCAGACAGGCCTTATTTTCTACACAAATAATGCTGTATAGAGTATCCAGCACTCTCAATGAAACACAAAGCACTTTACTAACCAAATCAGATGTGCTCAGGGGAACTGAAACTCCATGTTTATAGATCAGTCACAAGGGCAGAAAGTATGATCGTGCAAGTTTCAAGCTGAGATAATTGTTCACACTAAATGGGCTGTATGATATATAGTTTAGAAATTTGAGATGCAACAGTGTTCTTTGAAGTCAAACAAATCAAGTAGGCGTGAATCTCTCCCTACACTGCCTGGTAAATGACTCTGTACAAGTATCATGGGACATATTCACATGCATGTCACAGTCTCCCATTGTGGAATTCTGAGAACACAAGTGAGCCGGAAATGTGTCCATGTTGTGTGGGATTTTGGCTTAATTAATGAAATGTGAATCTCTTTTTTTTATCTAGGAAAAATGAGAGCCGACATGACAGAGGGTCAAAAGAGCAGCACTGGTGTGGCTATGAGATACAATCCCTCCTGGAAATTTCCCATAAAGTGACCATAATCAAATATGCAATCTGAGTCTCTGGTTATGCAATTGAATACAGCAATGAAGAAATTACTGTGAAGGGAAATAAAACCAACAGGAGACCAGTGCTTCCCGCACACAGACTTTACCTGGGTGGGCCGTCCAAGTATATTAACGACCGCCCAAGTATGAATGAATGAATGAAGCATTTGTATTTGGTAACATGTTTGCTTTTCATTATTTTTATCCTCTTATACTTTATCTGCCCAAGATGATGAAACCATCCGCAATCAATTTAGAGGTTCACATGTTGCGTCAAAAAATGCATGGAAAACACAGTCCGTGCCACTTTCTCCTCTTTTGAAAAAAACTATTTCCTACAGATTTTTCTGTAACCAGCAGATGGGAGAATTCTGCCCCTAACACCTAGATCAATATCCAGAAACAACTTAAATATTTAATTTTGATCATCATAAAAGTTTTTATTTTTTTTCAATATTTCAAAAGCATGCTAATGATTTAGTTGAGGAATTGTTTGTGGTTAATGGATAAAAAGTACTTCATATCCCCCTAAACACAGCATAATCCGTATCTAAATTAATTTAAATAAATAAAAATATTGTTAAAAGTCTCTGAAGTTCTCTGAGAGCTTAAAGATCCCCTGAAATGCTTAGAAACACGCAGCGTTACTCTATGTGTTGACATCATTTTAGCTGAAACAGGAAGACAGGGCGAGACATATAAAGCAGCCCCACCCCTTTTTAAAATAGCCAATAGCGTTAGTTTATATCACAGCTTGGGCTAGAGCCATTCAGAGCCGTTGAGCTCTGTAAAGCCGCATTTGACAGGGTATGCCAGCCACAATCTCATCCATATTGCTATAAAATATAGCATTCTGTGTAGAATTCAAATAGCTCCGATACATTTTGTGGTCTGCGCCGACTGGCGCATGTGATCCGCTCCGTGCGATCGTGTCTCTGGACCGGAGCGGAGTGTGTGTGCGGTGGTTAGCGTGACAAAGCGCGAAACCAGACTTCTTTTTTTCCTCAATGGAAAACCAGACTTCTTTTTTTCTTCAATGGAAAGCATATTTACACTGTTTGACTCGTTCCCTGTCCCCTATATAGTGCACTACGTGCCATTCACTGTACAGAAAATACTAATTCGGTGGACAAGTGACCGATTTCAGCCGCTGCATCAGCGTCTATTTTATAGTGTAGGGGGCGGGCGCTTCGGATTCTAGAGAGCATTTGATTGGACAGAAAGTTTGATGAGAAGCTGAAGTACGATGTGATGTCAAAAAAATCGTGACGATTTTGGAAGTGACGGAAGTGACGAACTGCAAGCTTTGAATGCTTATATCTTCAAAATGCGAATTATGTCACTGTTTTGGAGCACACTGCCTTATAGATTATTAAGACTAACATATTGATACTAACACCCAAAAAACTTTAATTTTGATTTCATGGGGACTTTAAACGTAACAGCTATAATAGATACAGCAACTACAAAGAAGAACGTTGTGCTAGTGTCTTCACTTTGAATGGGTGAAAACAAAAAAAATATTAAAAGTATTATTTTATCTACATTTTACCCACTAAATTGAAGTTTCAGTTACACTTTTTAAAAGATGGATTTTCAGTACCAGAAATTAAGATTTGGCATACTCATATTAAGCATTATTTAGAAAAAATGATATGAAAAGAAACTTCTCACTTAGACAGAAAAGAGCCAATAAGAACAGCATGCAAAACAAAAGCTGCTGTTTGTGTCAATTAAGTCTGAACTTGATCCTATCACAACGACAGACCAGCATGCAACAAAGGGGAATTTAAATCACTGAATTTAAAATGCAGCCGGCTCAGTGAATGATTGCACAGACAACACCAAAGAAAAGAGTGGAAATGCATGTAGATTTTGTGGTCAGAATTCCCATCCCAAACTAAGTACCAATTGAACATGAACTTTACAAACGGCACACGCTTCGAGTCGCAGCAGACTTTAAATGAAAATGACTTTACAGACTAAAAACCTGTACACCCCTAAGGTTGCATAGCAGCCGGGCAACCAAATTGAAAATGGATTTCGACACATTTGTGATTTTAGTACGCAATACGCATCAGATGGTCTGTGACCTCTTAGCATCCCACCTAACACTGAGTCTAGTGTCAAGTAGAAAGTTTAAACTCACCTGGGTGGCATGTTCGTGGGTGAACGTGGTTTGAGTGGCTTCTCCTTCTCATCCTTTTTCTCCCGTGGCTCTCTGGGAGGCCGCTCTCTAGGCCGTCCCTCTTTTTCGTCCCGTTTCAGACGATCCCTCTCCCATTCCTCCTTTCTGCGCCGGCTCTCCTTCTCCCGTTCCCGCTCTCTCTCCCTTTCTCGCTCTCTCTGTCTGCGCTCCCGCTCACGGTGGTCTCTCTCACGCTCCCGTTCCCTCTCACGGTGGCGCTCGCGTGGATCTCGTTCCCGCTCTCGGTCCTGATGCAAACAAAAAACAAATCCCAGTTGTTTAGTAGTGCAAATACAGGTACATGTCTCTCAGGAACACTTGATTCTGATCAAATGCAGCACTGAACACTCAACGTTTTTGTATGATAAACATACTTTGTCAACTTTATTGTCTGTTATTTAAATGACCCGGCATCAGTAACTTAAAGCACTTTGGAAGAAATAATAGTAAAAAAGAAAGTAAAACAGCTGAATGCTGCATTAGTATGTACTCACAGGGTAGTATGGCAGTGGGGTCTCTGTGTACTGCACTCGGAAATTCTCATACTGGCCTCCTCGCCAAAAAGCTTCCATCTCATAATCATAGTATGGGTCGCCATACGGATCACTACCACAGAAATGGTTATAAATGTACAGTTGGGAAAAGTGATAAACTGTGGTTTAAATAAATAATGAGAGCACAAATGAACATGTAGTGGGTTACACTGTGTATTTTAGGGGGGTTCATTCATTTATGATACTCACGCATAACCTGGATCTCTGAACTCAATATCACTGCAATGCAGAAAGAGAAAAGGGCAAAAACATTACAGTATGGGTCAGAGCTTATGTCCATGAGCTTTTTTTTAAATCAACAAGAATAATTTACCTTAAAATTGACATTAATTAATAAAATTTACATGAATTAATTTTTCTATTTTAAATGGTCCTTCGGTGTGACAAATGATTTTTTTTCAAGAACAGAAATTCCACATAGTCAAAAATATAACTAGGTCATGGAAACTAATATGCATAAGAATTATCAAAATGCTATTAACAATAGTTTTAGATGGATGACAATTACCTTTAAGTATGTAAACTAGCCACAACCACATTTGAACTTCATCAGAAACAAAGACAACAAATTGAATAGATCACACTCTGATTAAGTTTCTGATAAGTCATTGTTTCGTACCCAGCATCTCTGATCTCTCTGGTTATACGATAGCCGCGTTCCCTGAAGAAGTCATTTTCTTTGTCAAAGTCTCGATCATCTTCACCTATGGTTACGGTGAAACGTTTTTCCTCAAAATCTGGTTCCTGCTCTTTACGAATGGTGGCTTTCTTCAAAACCTAAGGGAATGTTTTTTGAGAACAAGCTAGATCAAGGCTCTCAGTTATTAAATTCAACTGGCAACTTTGTCTAACAAATCCTCCCCACAGTAATGAAAGCATCGTATTTTTTAGCATAGTAAGAGTATCAAAATACATATATCATGTTATCTCAGTTTTACAAAGTTGACACTTTTGTGATTACAAAACCACTGCAGAACACACTACAGACTCATTTGAATAGACGAGTTCCCCTCAAAAAACCCATAGACAATATAACATTACCTAGAAATGAAACTTTTTAAATTGTGGACTCAAAACAATTCTAAAACGTATGGTGGTGATATCTGTACCTCTTTGGCATGTCTAAGGCCTCTTTCCCAGGCGCTCTCCACCGGAGGATCTAGAGGAGGTGGAGGGGGAGGCAACTCTTCTACGGCAGGGGCTCCCTGGAAGAAAACAAGATTCAAATGTTGAATTGAAATTTAAACCTCATTTTAATTAAGGAAGAAACAAAATAGTAGAAAATTAATTACAAAGGGTGCATACCCAGGGGTTGGCAGGCATGAGGGGGTGAGGGCCTCCTCCTCCAGGAGGTGCTCCGTTAGGAGAGAAGGGATCTGGCTTGGAGATGAGGGAGTAGTTGCCTTTATCATTGACTCCTGGATGGATGAACCTACAGATCATGCCCCATGTGCAGTTACCTGTCAGAGACCACACAGAAGCCATTGCGATATTTAAAAATATATTGAGAGTTTTAAAATGTTCAAATAATGACATCAAAGCATCAACATCAAAGCCACCCACTGTTTTGAGTATGTGCTCTGAAGACAAATTTGCTCATAGGAAATATACTGCACTGAATTTAACTCCCCCTACTGTTGAAATGTAGGCAGATGTTGAACAACAAACTAAATGCAAATGTCACACTTTTCAAATTGGAATAATTTTCCTTGATGATAACACACTGTCGATTATCACCTTGGGCTACATAAAAATACCATTTTAAAAGTAGAAAAGATGTATCAGCAGATTTAATCCATTCAGGAAATCACATGAATGAAGAACTACCTTTCATGAAAAACCTGCAGATGGGTCGGGGTCTGATCTTCCTGTCCATGGGGTCCTTCACCTCCCCCTCTTCAAGATCATCATCCTAAAAAAATAACAGAAAAACTGACTATAGCACTTATTAATGACTGGTTATTTAAGTTTTTTATTCTAAACCAAAGGTAGGTGATTTACTGTTTAAAAGTTTAGGGTAAGTAAGATTTATTTTGCAAGGATACATTAAATTGCTTATAAGTAAGTGACAGTAAATACTTTTGCAATGTAAAAAAAAAATCGATTTCAAATATATGCCGATCTTTTGAACTTTCCATTTATCAAAAAAATCTGGAAAATATGTATCATGGTTTCCACAAAAAATATTACGCAGCCCATCTGTTTTCAACATTGTAAATAAGAAAATACTACTTGAGCAACAAATCATCATATTAAAATGATTTCTGAAGGATCGCGTGACAATGAAAACTACATTCTAAAATGTATTGAAATAAAACTGTTATTTTAATAATATTTCCCAATTTTACTGTTTTCGTTGTAATGTTAATTAAATAAATGCAGCCTTGGTGAGAATAACAGACTTTTTTCAAGAACATTAAAAAATCTTGCTGACCCCAAACTTTTGAATAGTAATTCTATATTTTATTTACATATTATTAAAATGAGTAAATTAGGTGATCACTTCAAATTTAAAGTTAAAATACTTTCTGATTTAGCAGCATTGTGTCATTTCTTTTCCATTCTAGAAAAATGTAAAGATACTGCATTCAATTGCTCCCTCTACTGTTGTGACCTGGTCATTCAAAAACAAAATTCTATGTGTCATGCAAAAACAAACTTATTCTTGGGTTCCATAAAAATGAAAAACTATGACTATAAAGTTAAAAGGCAATGGGTTTTAGCAGCGAAAAACCAATATGAAAAAAACTGTCATAACTTGCTCTGCAGTGGCGAACTGAGATCGAACAGCTCCAATTTTCATATGCCAATCACAAATGATTTCAACATACTTACATCTATCTCTCCCTCATCAATCTCTCCATCATCTTCCTCTTTCTTTTTATCACGGAATGAATCTCTCCTGCCTCCTTCCCTTGAGTCCACAGATTTTCTCAGTGGTGTGTCTTTGTTATCTGGGGGCAGAATTGGTTTTCTTTCCTTTTTCTTCCGTCTTTTCTCCTCCTCTTCATCATCCTCTTCCTCATCTTCTCCATCCTCCCTGGCGGGACCCTTCTCAGCCTCGTCCTCCTCAGGTGCAGCAGCACTCGGCTCTTCTGGAACCTCCTCGTCATAATCCAGCTCATGTTCATCCAGATCTCTGGACACGGAAGATTCGTCCTTCAAATCACTCACTACCATCGCCGCCCGCCTCCGTCGTCTTCTCTCTTCTTCCTCATCATCCTCTTCCTCAAGCTCAGCACGGCCGAGGCCAGACTTGGTGGTTGCCTCATCCTCCTCGTCTCGCTCCTCTTCTGCTGGGGTGAAAGGTCGCTCGTGTTCTGGCCCTGGCGAGTCAGGATCAGGTGATCTCGGCGTCTCAAGGATCTCCTCTTCAGGAGACTGGCTAGCATTCTGTCTGCTTCCTCGGACCGTCAAACCGAGGTCTTGTTGGTGGAAATCTTCTCTCTCCTCCCTGCTCATCTTGTAGTCTTCCAGGTCTGACACCTCCTCAGGATCTTCTCCTCCAGCTGCTACCCTGTCTCCATCCTCAAAGTCTGAGTCTCCTCCACCCTCCTGTACTTCATTTTCATCATCATTCAAAAGCTCACTGTCCGAAACTCCCTTGTCTACTTCTGCTGGGGACTCGGGCGACTCCAGCAGCTCGTTTTCGGAGAGACCCTTCTCCTCCTCCTCAGGAGATTGTGGGGACTGGGTGGGGCTCTCTGGCGTATCCATCAGCAAGAACTCTGAAGCAGACATTCAATATCAGCCAAACAGTTAGTACAGAAAAAAAAGTCTAAGTTAACAGACCCTCTAAGACCCACTCCGCATAATTACAACACTTATTAAAATAAAACCTATATTTTTGTAGGTATAGGCCTACATGGGAAAAATCTAAACATAGCAAACTGAACTATCACAGCGACAGTTTTTACACAACTAGGGTCACTGCACTCCTGGAAGCCTAACACATTTATAACAAATTTAATAAATACTTATTTGCATTGTAATATTTTACTTAACATTAATGTATTATTTTTAATACAAATATATATTTATTAAAATACAGAATAACATTTATAATAACAACATATTTTTCCATTAAAATATGCCTTAAAAATTTTATTTTAAATATTGACATCCTAAAACACTGCTTACAACAAATTTAGCAAATATATATTTGGCATGTGATTTAATAAATAAATAAATAAATATATGTTTTAAAAAAAATATGCATTTACAAAAACAAAATTTATACCATATATAAAAAAAGATAAAACAACAAAAATAAAGTCAATGCTTGAACCCTCTGAGTGTTGACTTGACACTAAATATAAGACAATTGCAAATATTTACTTGTAAGTTTTTAAAAATGTTAACGTTGTTCAAATAGTAAAAATTAGATGGCGTTTGTAAAATTACAGAAAATAATCTTTACTGCGGTTGTTATCTTACATATTAAACTGACTTTCAGAACACTTATCACTTTATATTTGAATGAAAGTTATACAAAGCTAACAGTTTTTATTGTAGCAACAATAACTTTAATATCAATGTTATTTAGGTAAAATCTATACCATGATGATTTTATGTAAGGTACTTCTGCATAAACAAAGTCCATATTAAAACGAATTAATTACCCTACTAGTTCTTCCATAACAACACCTCTATATTAGCCTGCTAACGTAAAATAGCTTAACCGCATTCAAAACTTAACAAATAAACAAACTTTTCCATACCACACAAAGGCCAATCATTGAATCATCTGGAACTTGTTTACCTTCTCAGATTTAAGGCAATGGATTCATGAGAGGAAGACCGACACATGTCTTACTAGCCGCTTTATCTTTAACGGGAGAGCTCGTTGATGGCGATGCGGCTAACAGGCCCGAATCCTGCCCGCACACTACAAAACGACACCCTTTCCGACATTTTCCGAACGATCGCGCCGTTTAAACGCCGAGGCTTGTGCTTAAATAACACATACGTTACTTTCTAAGTCTAAAATCGCGAGTTACGGCGTTGCACGATGTTTCTTCGACGCACACTGGCTAAAATCTCATGCAACAATAAAAGCGCTCCCTCCTGCACAACACACGGACATCGCGTATTAAAACACATTCGGTCACCTTTCAAACCACAGAGTCTCGGGAGACAGGGTCTCAGCGTAGGGAGTCACCCGGTCTTTTTCCTTTGGGTGACTGTGTTCAAACAATGAGCGATCTGTCTGGGGTTCTTATTTTTCTCTACCGGAGAAATTCATAAACCCTGCACTACACCGTGAGAGCGGCCATTACCCAGACGTCATCAACGCGCGACCAGATGATTCCCCCCCACAAACAAGTAACAGAAAGGAAATATTATGAAATTATTATTAGGAAACAATGGAAAATAAATATATTAAATATGCGATACATAATAATATACTGAGGCATACATTCATACACACGGGAACAATATTTATATACTGAGGTCATACAGGAACACATACAATTATATAAAATGTTATTTAAATATGTTTTTCAAAAGCAATATTCACTACTTTAGGGGTAGAATATTTTGTGAATGCATCTTTAATTACAGCCTCAAATCACTCAAGACACACGCACGAATTATCGGCGAACTCTTCCAGTAGGGGGCGCTATTGTAATGAAGGGACCTACAGTTCAGAAGACTTACAGTTAATAGTGCATTTACTAGCGCTTCTGTACAAGATCAGATTATTTGCTCGTCATGTCAAATACTTCATATCAGTGCATTTTGTTTTTCATCTGGGGTTTATAGCCGTCACTGCATGAGAGCTGTTTTGGTTCCAGACTACAAGAATGATCTGGTAGGAAACGCTTTATTCTCTTACTTCTCTTGAGAAGTTATCGATGTCAGTTTCCATAATACGCTAATTTTAAGTGATTTTCTTAAATCATAACTTAATTCCTAAAAGTGTTATGTTTGAAGACGAAGGTGTATGTAGGCTATATAATATGAACTTATATTATAAGTATTTTCCAAGACAATGGTTAAAGAGCTGAGCGTTTTACAAGACTGAAATTATTATAGCTTGTTTCGTTCAAGTCTATTTTTATATATAAAGCTGCTCAGGTAGAAGATCGGTGCTAATGTTTACTAACGTTTTTATAGGCTAATATTATAAAAAAATATATGTAATTGAATGTTTGTAATAGCCTATTGCGGTATAAAAATTACAAGCTGAGCGTGTGTATTTTTGAGTTGATTAGGTGAAGTTCACATAATCTTTAAGGCGCCAAAATGTTTTGCAAACTGGATGTTGCTTTAACAACTAACTTTTAAAAAATAATGTTGCGTAGAACTCTAAATTATTCGTTTTAGACTACTCGAACTATAAATATTTCCAGAGTATTAATGAAGCATCTGCTTTCCTGTTCAGGTACAAATATATAAGAGAGACGGTGATTTTCGCACGGACAGTAGCCTAGGCTGTGTCCTAAATCTAGTGAGTTTAGGCATGTAGCATTTTTGGAACGAGCCTGTGGCGCCCCAAAATGCTGTCTAGTTAGGCAGCTCATTAGGATTTGAGACACAGCCACGCTGATTTATGATTCTGGTAGTGATACAGTCAGTTAGGAGAACTAAACAAATGTGACTGACAGTCCGTTTCATAGCAGCACGTCTGACTGTCCCCATCATTTTTGAAGCAAGCTCAGAGAAAGAAAAGAAAGCTCTCTTTTATATATGTGACAGCAGAAATCTTATGGATGTTACAAATATTGTAGTGCTTCTGTTGAAAAGCAGCCACTCATTATTATTTTTATTTATTTATTTTTCATTTAATTTCTAGCATGTCCCTTCTATGATTTATTTATTCAAGCAAAGACAGCATACTAAACATATAGAGGGACACACACATTTTTGTTCCTCTTCAGTTTACATGATTGGAAACCGCAGTGCTCTTGTCCATATCTGCACTGCCAGAGCAGCAATAATGGAATATGAAATAGAGTAAGATGAAGTCTGAGCAGGGTTTTGCTGGATTGGGAAGTCGGGATTGAGTTAAATTACTTTTCACATCATGTCCACCTCAATTTATTAGGAAATCCCCGAGAGGCAATGCAGTCTTATTTACAAGGCAAAGAGACGGTTGAAAAGAGCAACAGATGTCTGGATTTTTCAAGCCTCTGTGAACAACATCTTGGCCCCATTTAGTGGCTTTAATGGATTTCAAACACTATTTTCAGACTAGATTTAATGTTAAAATACGTTATCAAGGATTATTTGTGGTAAACATTGTGTTCTTACATTATGATGACTATACAACAGACATTTCTTCCATTTGGTGTCTTTTTGTACAATATACACTGAAAGACAGCTATTGAGGTAATTTGAAGATTTGTAAAAGATAATTCAATGCGCAGAAAAAAAAACGTTATAAAGGTTATTTGATTTAAACATCCTTGGATATTAAACATGCCATTTGCCACAGCAGCTGTGTGGCTTTAAGTCTTTCTGTGATTTTCCCCACTTATCGCCGTGCACCACTTAAAATGTCTCATTTGAATAATTAAAAGCTTCTCATCCTGTATAATAATGTTCAGAGGAAGTCTCCTACATCCTTACTAGAGCAAGTGTTATGGGAATATTTGTAAAGAGAACAAATAGGAAGTCTGTCTGCATCGTGTTATTTTAAAGGGGTCATATGATGCTTTTTTAAAGATCATTATTTTGTGTATTTGGTGTAACATAATATGCTGACATGCTTTAATGTTCAAAAAACACATTATTTTTCAAATACTGTACATTATTGTAGGTCCTCTATGCCCCGCCTCTCTCAAACGCTTCGTTTTCTACAAAGCCCCCTCCTTTGACAAGCGCAGTCTGCTCTGATTGGCCAACTGACCCAGTGCATTGTGATTGGCCGAACACCGCAAGCACGCGTCGGAAATGTAACGCCCCTTACCATAATAGCAAGCTTCATCTTTCAAAATAAATGTAAAGACAGAGCACGAAAGGGGAACAGAGTCGCGTGACAGACACAGTAATGATGCAGTACACAAGCCGCGGTTAAGACAGCTGACGTGCTATGATTTCTGACAGGCAGTTCACTCTCCTGTGATGTGACCCTGTTCCCCTCACACACACACCCACACACACGACGCGTTACTCTGCGCTGCGCAAAACTCCGCATTTGAACAGTCAATAGCAAATACTTAAACTAATAACAAAACAGTAGCTGATTCAGAAGCGCCAGATTGTCATAGCAAAGTCAGAATTACCTCCTCTCCTAGGTTCACAAAACGGTCGTCCATAAAATGCATTGCTGTTCTGTTCAATCAGCTTGTAACACTCCAAAGAAAAAGGAAAAATTGAAATCGCATCATATGACCCCTTTAAAACAAGATCTGATTAACGTGAATCTTATCATTAGTCTTCTCCATTAGATGTCACCCTTATTTACCTTGCGCGATGTTACAACAGAAAGCCTGTCATTCATTCA